CGTACAATTGACAAACTCACATAGGTTATGTTTACTACTTAAGAACAGCTGATGAGAGGGGTGTTATGTAAACAAACATGTGTACCAACTGTTGGTGATGAAATATTTCATTTGTTGAAAACTCAATATACATATATATAATATAATGATACTATATCTTGAAAACAAGAGCTAATATATAATTTTTATGGTCACTTTCGGTTTTAACACGTGGAAATACATTAAAATCATCTAATTTCAACCTCGAAACAAAAACTTTGTTGTGTTGTGAAATTAATGTTCGGGCAGGGATTGTAGGAAACCATATCATTGATATGTTAAATAATGTTAAAAGACAGTTTCATTTGAGATTAGGATATTACTAAGACGTTCGCGGTGAACATTTTGAATATTTAGTCCGTTAACATCCATAGTTCTTTTTCGTATTCTACATTTCATTACGTTTTGCATTACATTTTAGTTTTAAAGTATATTTCATAGAATTTCGACAACCACATGATTTAAATTCATTTCATCTCAATTGTTGCAATAAAGCGATAACATTTTTGAATAGAGAATGAATATACCTTTTAAACGATATATCACAAACCTATACTTCCCATTTGAAAAATTGGGGGTTGTACCTGTCATTCAAAAGGGGTTGAGGGGTAGAGGTGGCATTTTTACGTTGCAGAATGTCAAATTATAATTTACATTTAACGTGTTTCGGAATTTTTTAAAAACATGTACAGTAACCAAAATAATGAATTTATTTCATTTGGCATTTACATACTGTAGAATATCCACTGTAACTTTTTTACATTACATTTACACTTCGCATTTTCGTAATGAAATGAAATCTTGACCATCCCGTATAAGTATCTTGTTGGATAATTCGTAACTTCACAGCTGCGAACCTGATAAGAACACGAACTGATCATAAAAAACATTTGGCGTAAAAACAACAGACTCCAAGTAGGTAGTTAAATCTAATCCATCTCGAAACATTCAGATACCTTTGCAACTGGCGCTTGCGCCAGAAACAGGAATATCGATTTAACCTACTGCGGTGTTATGCCATGTGAGAAATGCTCCGAAGTAGTAGCTATTAATTTGTTAGAAATTTTACCGAAAAAATGGGGTGCCAAAAATACCCATTCATGGCGTTGTTTTTGTGTGTCGGTTGTGCCACTTTCGGGCAAGGAGAAAACGTACGAAAGGAAATGGAGATGGAAAGCACCGCTAAACAACATCCTGAGTTGTCAAAACTGTAAGTTATACTGTTCATCATCATCATTATAGAGATCGTCATTCTTTTTCTTAAACAATGCGCGTTTTTCTTTATTTTCGATTTTAGCCACCCTTTTCTTAAGAGCCTGCTGTTTGTTTTCGATTTCCGTTTCTCTTTTTGCTTCTAGTCTACGTTGTTTCCCATTCTCTTTATCTTCTTTCTCTTTCCTAATTGCCATGAGGGTGACCTATAATAATAATATAATGATAATGATAATAATAATATGGACTTATATGGACTGGATGTTAGAACTGTTGTTCCTTTCTTTCGCTTAGTTTCTCTTTTGATAATCCTATTGACCTTGGATACAAGAACAATTCCACGTGGACTTACAGCAAATGAAGTGGACTTCTTGTTTGGTGGAATGTTCAAATTTGAAGTTGTTTCTAGGAAACCAGCTGATGCAATTCTGGGAATAAACGGATCAAATGTGGCAGAAGGAAGCCCACTCCTAGACCTGATTGGATCATCAACAGAAGGTAGGGATGCCATTATGAAGGCGGTATTGGGGTTTTCAGAACCACCAATGAGTTCTGATGAGCTACTGTTGTTGACAGTCTGAGATGAAGATGCACAAACTTGTATGATGGTGTTCTCTTCTCCTGGCGCAGGGTCTTCTTGTAGAGTTGTTTCAGCAGCTGCATAATCCCGTTCTGTAAACACATTTCTGTCGATTGGGACGATTCCACATTTTCTAAAGCCTTTTATAGCGATAACTGGTGTAGCTGCCTTCAAAAACGCTTCACCAAGTAGCCAGGAAACCTGGAATTGAGTCACTGTCCGTCCTGGATTATTTCTTAAGAACTTTTCGAAGCTTTGTACAAAATACGTATTGAAAGGTGCCATAAACGCAACATCAAGTGGCTGCATTTCATGACTGCAGTAGGGGGAATGCACAAAACAGTGACATGATTGTTCGTGTGAGTTGCATGACCGTCTAGTACCAGAAGAATCGGGTCGTCTTTTGTTGGCTTTGAAAATTTTAAGAAGTGGTCAAACCATGAGGTGAATATTTCCATTTGCATCCAACCAGTAGGATGACAAGCAAAAGCTGATCCAGGAGGTGCTTCATCTTGCAGTTCAACTTTCATTCTTCGCCGTGGTAAAATCACAAAGGGTGGTATAAATGTCCCTCCAGCCAAAACAGCCGACTACAAAAGTTGAAAGAACGCCTCGTTCAGCAGATGTTGAAGAGCCGACTTGTCGCCGACCTTTTAGAGCAAAGACCTTGGACGACTTGGACTGGACTGTTAAGAGCCCAGTCTCATCAACATTGTACACCCTATGGGACGTGACCTTTCGGAATGCCTTCCAAAATGTCAAAAAACTTTGACACACTAGTTTTGTTAAACGCTTGAGCCCGTGCAGCTGAAGTCGCCTCAGGCTTCCGTAATGCAATCATAGGGTGGCGTTTTCTAAATCCCTGTACTCAATCTCTCCCAGCAGCTTTTTTTCATGACTAAAGTTATGAGGTATGCACTTTTTAACAACGAGTTTGTAGGCAAGAGCCTGTAGATCAGCGACTGTTACACCAAAAAACGGACATCCATGTCCAAAAGATGGTTAACTATTTCTTTTTCCTGCTCCTCAGTAAATATCGGCCGAAAGTAACCAAGAACCTTTTTTGTGTTTACTGCTTGAACATTTTTGTCGAGTGCACGCCGTTTTAAAGGTACCTGGAACCTTTTAGCTGCAGTTTGCCAAGGCAACCCCTCCTTCCTCACTGCATCAATGGCCTTGCATAGCTTCACAGTTCCAGGACTGCTGAGCGGTTTTCCTTCTATACTTTGACACCATACTGTTCTTCTGTAAAAAAACACGGAATTAGAATAACTGAAGTTTGCCATGATCTTGCTCTTGATATTATAGGCCTACTTAGTTTTGTTTGTGATGAATGCAGTTTCAGAAATCAAGTTTCATGCAACATACATTGCGGGCAAAGTGGACATATTCGCGGTAAAGTGGCCACGGCTGTGGCCACTTTGTCCTCTAGCACGCCATTATAACACCCCAGCCAGGCAGGGGTTCACCGTGAAGAGCGGTACTGATATCTGAGGACATTCATGCCATCATCCCATGATCAATTATGACCCATTTATCCCTCTGACAACCGTTAGTCGTATAGGTAAGGGATCCAGGCTCAAACCTGTTTGAAATTAAGACGAAATCGGCCAAAGGGGTTGTATTAGATTAGAAAGTAAAAGCAACTAGAGGCTAACTTTCGACCAAAGAAGGTCAGATGTCAATCTTGCTGAAATGCCCATTTGAAGATGTTGGCGACATTGCCACATGTACCCCTGAGAGGACTTTCTCTTCTCTGAAATGCCTCAACACTTATTCAAGATACTCCACAAGCCAGGAATGACTAAACGGTTTGGCGTTAATGTCAATCCACCGTAGAATTGACATCGACACCGAGGAGGTAATTGGTTTCTAAATTTAATTTTGTGATAAGATGTTATTATTTCTGTAGTGGTTTTCTAATAAATATATATGATCAAGTTTTCTACCGTTCCACCAAACCAACTCCTCCCTCCCATTTGTTTTCTGGGTACGACTCGATCCTTGAACATTTTTGGTAGGAAATATATTACGTTAATAAATTGGTCGTACTAATTCAATTGATAAAGTAAAGAATGTTCCCAAATTATAAAAAATCGATTTGATCTCAAGAAAAGTAACTGTGAAAAATATAATGACGATACAGAAAAATGCAAAAGAAAACAAGAAAAATATTCGTAAAATACAATCGAGTAAACTTCGTTCTCTGTTGTCACATTCCTTTCAGTTTGTATTGCAACTGGTTTCCCAGCAGAAGCAATGACAAGATTTGATAAAGCCATCTGAGATGATGGTGAAATGTCAACGTTTGAACTAACTAAACAGGTTGATTCTTTGACTTTACTCTCACCTGTTCTCATGCAACACATAATTTTCCTTTTCCCAAATCTTCCCAAAATCTCCAAATTCCAAATCGCGTCTCTTCTGGTCCTGCAGTTGTCTACTATTGTTAACTTTGACAAGGT